CACACGCACGCATGCACACATGCACCCTGGCAATTTTGCCCAGTTACTTTAATAACAAACTCAGTTGTCACTTATTGTTACAGTTACATCCTTTAAGTATATATTATACTTTCCACAACTCCCACACTACCAAAATCACACACACACACACACGCACGCACGCACGCATGCACACATGCACCCTGGCAATTTTGCCCAGTTACTTTAATAACAAACTCAGTTGTCACTTATTGTTACAGTTACATCCTGATCCCCAGAGTAAAGTAACAGGACACCCTCTCACAGGACTCCTGCCAAAAGTCCAGCCAGCTTCTATTTCTCAGGTCACCTACACATCAAATGAACGCCCAAGAGTCCCAAGCTTTTTCATTTTGGACAAAATCTTGTGCTCCCCGAATCCTGAGCAGGATGCCCCAGTCTACGGGAGCCCATCGCAACAGCCACAGACCTTGTGGAGGGGAGTGGGACGTCCCTCTTCTGCTCTCTCTGACCTGTTGGGGAGATCAAAAGGAACCTGCTGGCGGGCAACTCTGCAGGTGGAGGGGGCAGCTCTCTCCCCATCCACAGGTGAGGGTCCCAGCCAGCCCCAATTACCAGCTGCCCCTCAGCTAGGCTCGGCAGCACGCTCTCTTCCCTTTCGCCATTTCTCTGGCAGAGATAAAAATGGAAATGGAACCCAGAGAAATAGAAACAAGACAGTTAATTTCTTAACTGGGAAAAAGTTGTTTTTTCTATAAAATTAAGTTTTATAGTTTTTCTATAAAATTAAGTTTTTTCTATAAAATTAAGTTTTATTAAGTTTTAATAAAATCTATTAAAATTTTTCCATAAAATGTAAAAGAATTGTATTTTTTCTTTTGTTCTGCAAGGGAAAGAACTGTGTTTTTTCCTATAAAATCGGTGTCTCTCACAAACACGCTCGTATCCCCAACAGTAAAGGTGTATTCCTGCTAACTTCCTGTCACCCACCAATGCTGGCCACCAGGTAATCTCGCTACACACACCCCACAGTGAACCATGCAGCTTCTCAGTCTCTCACTCCACCGACACCTGCAGAAAGGAAGCCACGCCGGTCGCCATGTATGTGGTCTTCCTTGAGAAATAGTTCAAGGGTTCTGCCAAGAACTGGAACATCTAAGCAGGGTGGGACACTCGAATTACAGACTAACAGCAGTAGTACTCCCACCTTCAGGAGTGAAGGGAGAGCTGGGGCACCGAGATAGCCACACATGAACACAAGAGATTACAGTCAAACCTAATACAACCAGCCACTTACCAGAGTTCAGCGATTTACTAACAAAGCTAACCCTTTTAAAATAATTAATACAGATGTCAAATACTAACCAAAGTATCAATATCTATATGAGAGTCCTGCCTTTCAACATTCAAGTTTAACCATGTATGGGACGTCTTCAAAGTCCAAAGACATAGTGATTTGTTTTTTAGTGTTTAATAACTGGTTTGTTTTGTTGCAAATTGCATTGGGAGGGGAAAAAAAATAACTGGTTTGGCTCATTATAAATGTAATGTATGTTCATTATAGGAAATTTGGATAATACAGAGAAAGTTTTAAAAGATTATTAAAATCACCTTTAAGCCCACAACCAGAAATATACCCTGTGTATACTGTATTTCCTTCCAGTCTTGTTTGTATGGATGTAGGTGTGTGGTGTACGTGTGTTTGTGTGTTTTATGGTTTAATGTGTCATAATTCTGCTGAGGCCTGAATTTCAATCCTGCTCCTGGGAAGTTAGATTAAATGTGGAGACCCTAGTCAGAGAGGAAGCCCAGGCCAGCCACCAAGTCTATAGCTCATTTTCCTCTTGTTGTCAAGCATGGTGACACATATGAAGTCCTACGTGCTGGATTTTATCGTGGAAATCACATGCTACCATGGTGATTGGGTCCCAGAACATATCCCTAGCAAATTCCAAGAGTAGATTGTACTTTAGGTGAGTGGTTTTTTCCCTACTTGAATCACCGTGCTATTCTTTTCCATTTACATCTCAGTAATAAAGAAGCACATAACTGCTTCATAAATCTTCTGTGTTATTCCCTATAAACAGCGAGTGTCAAGGCACCAAACCATATAAACACAGCTGGTGTGCAGTAAAACTATTTAGATAGAGAGTGTATTTATTTTGTTCTTTCATACCCCACACTAGAATAGTACCTAGCACACAGTAAATGTTGAACAAATGAATATTATTAACTGTGACACTGAAACAATTTCTACAGACAGAAAAGAAAGTGCCACCAATATAATATTGAGCTAAAAAATTATACTATGTGAAACTGATATAAAGAGAAAAATTTAAATCTTTGAAGAACTACTTTATAGTTCTAGGCCTCTCTATACCTGGCAGCCTAGCTCAGCAGCGACACCTTGTGGTGAAAGATCTTTGATTCCCAGCAGCAGAGTCAGTCTATAACAGAGGATCCATGGGGATCAATAATATCTATTAAGTAGGGCCGCAGGAAAGAAAACCAAAAAGAAAAAAGTGCAACCCCATTCTATTCCCAATCTCTATGGTCCCTACCTATAAATACTGACCCAACAACGAGAAAATGGAGGGGACACATCTGGGTGGGAGGGGGGAGAGGGAGGAGGGAGGGAGGTTTTAGTAATGGGACACAATAACTAACTACATTGTATATTGACAAAATAAAAATAAAAATTAAAATTAAAATTAAAATTAAAATTAAAAAAAAGGGCCGGCCCGGTGGCACACTGCTATAGTGCGCCGCTTGGGAAGCGCGGCGGCGCTCCCGCCGAGGGTTCGGATCCCACATACAGACCGGTTCCCGCTCACTGGCTGAGCGAGGCGCGGGAGCGACACCGAGAGTTGCGATCCCGTTGCTGGGTCCGGTCCGGTACGGGGGCGACACTGAGGGTTGCGATCCGTTGCCGGACACGGAAAAAGACAAAAAGAAAAAAAAAAAAAAAACAACACGATGGCTGAAGGTGTTCTGAAATGTCTTGGCATTGGCATCAGGACATGAGCAAGAGGAATTATCCAGCTGCCTCCAGAAAGACCATCTCAGTCGGTAAGTATCTATCTTCAAATTTATTTGCACGATAATCCTTTAGAGAACTTGTATTCCAGAAAAGCATACTATAAAACCCTGAATTCTGACCTTTCCATCTACGGCAGATTCAAGGTCTCCTAAGCATAGTTAATAAACATTAAGAATTGAGGATATGGGGCTGGCTGGTTAGCTCAGCTGGTTAGAACGCGGTGTCGATAACACCAAGGTCAAGGGTTCGGATCCCCCTACCTGCCAGCCACCAAAAACAAACAAAACAAAACAAAAAACTGAGGATTTGTACAACAATCATACATACACTCACTCAGTTTCTTGGGCTCCCAAATACAATCAGAAATAAGCAATTGGGAAGGAAAAGTAGTCCACAGCACTGATCCAAGATCAGCAAGACCATATGGTGGACCCCAAATGAGAAGTGAACACTTCTGAAAATTATTATTTTCCAAAGTTATTATGTAATAATGGGCTTAGTAAGGAGCATTCGTGTATGTGTATCCAGAGCAAATATTCGCTTTAATTATATTCAAGCACTTCATTCCCATGGTTTGTGAATGTGCGAACATTGATCAATCAATAGGGGAAAATGTATCCCCACCACCCAGGCAGTTAAAAGAACTGAAAAAAACAAAAATGTGAAGCACCTCTTATGTGTTTTAATAAGCAGACACATGATACAAAGCCTCTAGGTATTTCAGGTTATACCTATCCTAAAGGATACATCAGAAAAGCCATGAGTTCCAAACTTCTGCCCACAGGAGAATAACCTGGGGCCATTCTTTCATCCCCATTGCTCTGTCTGAGACTCCAGAGGTCCAAGTCCCAAAACCAGCATGATCTGAACTCCCAGGAAAGGACAGGGAGCACTGCCAAGGGCAAGCCTGGTCTCTCTCGCTCCTGCCCTCCCAGGCTGGGAGCCTCGGGGCAGGCAGCACATGCTCACATGTCCAGCCTCAGACCTCCATGCTCAGGAAAAGAGGGACAGTAACCCTTACCCACATGGCCCTACCCCATACCTCCAACGTGGGTTGTCTATAAGACTTGAAGCTCTGAGGACTGGCTTTATTTTGATATTTCTTTTATAAGTCACAAGGCAGAAATGTCCTTTTATTAACTGAACACATGAAAAAAGACATAAATGACATGGAGCTTTGAGTTCCTGAGAGGAACCAGGCATAAACAAAAGTCATACTATTAATTCCCAACAGCATTCATAAAAAACAGTGCAAACTGTCTAAAAACTGTAATGAAAATGCAATAAAAGAATGTTTCTCAAATGGGAAAAAAAAATCACCCACTGCTATATTATTAATTTTTTAAATTAAAACCATTACCAGGGGCCGGCCCAGTGGCGCACTCCCGCCGAGGGTTCGGATCCCATATAGAGACCGGTCCACTCACTGGTTGAGCGCGGTGCGGGCGCGACACCGAGGGTTGCGATCCCATTGCCGGTCGCGGTACGGGCGCGACACCGAGGGTTGCTATCCCGTTACCGGTCATGAAAAAAGACAAAAAAAGGAAAAAAAAAAAAAAAACCATTACCAGGCACTTGTTCAGCACATTATACACTTTTAACTCACTCATCCTCCCAATAGCCTAATAATAATTGCACTATCATTTAAATAACACAACTTGCACAGAACTTTCACATATACTATTTCATCTAGTCCTCAAATAATCCTGTAAATTTCCTAATCCTAAATGCTCTCAGATTTTTTTATGTTTTCTTCTCCAAGTGAGCACATCACACCCAGATAGCTCACAGCTCTTCTCTCCTCTGAAAACTAAGTTTGCCAAGGGACATAGAGTAACCCAGATGAGAATGCCTCCTCTTTTAAAATTGTTGAAGTGAGGGATGTCACTTGTTCTTTTCAAGGGAAAATAGGTAAGTTTGGTGTTTAGAGTCACCTGTACTGTTGGGTATTTGCTGAAACCACACAGTTATGTTTCTAAACTCACAGATTTGCCTGTTTAGGGGAGACAATAGAAATAGACCCACAAAATAATTTGTCATCATGAATAAGAAATTGACAGCGTGGCAAAGCAAGGGGATTAGCAAGAACACACACCTGGGGTATCTGGCAACCTGCCCAAAGCCAGGTATCAATCACAGGCAGCAAATGCAAACACAAGGCCAAGAGAATTCCTGAATACATTCCCACCTCTGTGGGCATTTTCCTCTTAAACACAACTAACAGATATAAACTGAAATCCAGAGCCCTTCTGCCACAAGATGGCAGATGTCAGCACAAATGAAAAAGAAGTTGTGATTTTTTCCATCCAAAGATTTGCTGAGAAAGGCCAAAATCAAAACAAATTTTTTAATCCCAAATGAATAAATTGTGGTTGCCAAATACATTCTTGACACATAAAATAGAGACCCTCTTCTCCCTAAATTGGAAAGGGCCACACAACTTGCAGACTTAACAACATCTAAACTCAAATAACAGTCTTCTCTCCCTCCATTACATACAGACACCAAAAAAAAATGATACTTGCACATGTTTGAGATGGTTTCCGAGCCCAAAGTCAGAATAGAAATAGAAATCAAAATCAAAACTAACTGCAATAGAACGATTAAGAACAAGGGCCCCACGGAGGCACTCTCTTCCCGGCTGGGCCCACAAACTCACCTCAGCCGCAGGCAGTAAGTAAAGGGGTGTTAAGGCAGGAACTTGTTTTATGTCACAGCTTAGGCCAAGGGTTGTCAGGATCTCTTTAAGGACTTCATATCTTCTAATATTGCTTGATTTGAGCAAATTAAAATCTTCTTCAGTTTGCACCATTACAGAGCTGGGAGGTAGTTCTAAGTGCACCTGAGGGAAAAAGACACCACTTTTGTAAGTAAGGGGCACTTACAGAAACTAAGAAAAACAGTTTCTTTACCAATTTTTTTTTGAAAACCTGAACATGAATTCTTCTTATTACCAACAGCATATAAACTCTGAACCTGAATATTTGGAAAGTAATGGCAAGCAATAAAAAAGATTCAAAAGAGACTATTAAAATCATGGCTGTCAGGCTGGATAGTCATCAATGTCTTTCCAGGTCCTGATTTTTATCACTAACCAGCTGTGTGACCTCATGACCTCGGGCAAGCTATTCAACTTGGTTATAGAACCAAAGCATATACAAATACAGTTTTGGGGGTGGGGAGCCTGGCTGGTTAGCTCAGCGGGTTAGAGCATGGTGCTGATAACACCAAGATCCAAGGTTTGATCCCTGTGCCAGACAGCCACCAAAAAAAAAAAAAAGAAAGAAAGAAAGAAATATAGTTGTGCTGGGAACCCATCTGAAGTTGCTATTGAACTCAGGGAGGCAAAATGGCTCATGCTGGAAACTTCAATTCTACCTACTAGTCATGACTGGAAAACTACACGTGGGAGGAGAGCAGCCTTATTCATCATTTTGAGTCTTTGCAGGAATTCAAATACATAGAGTGAGCCTTCATGGACACCAGAAAGGCCTTCCCTACCACCCTCCTTAACTTGATTGAATTTAGTTCAGGCTTTGTTATCCAGTTAAAATTAAAATATCTCCACCTGTCAATGGTCTGTGTCTTCGTATGATGGAAGGTCCTGGAACTTCTAGCTCCCTTGAGATCAAATTTTAATTGAGCATTTGAGCCTGGAGGGCACCAGAATATTAAGTATCCAGAAGAGTGAGCTCCTTTGCTTTATTTTGTTTTGTATTGTGTGCAAAGCTTCTGACCTGACAAGAGCATTATGAAAATAAAGAGCTTGGTGCCAGCCTTCAGTAAACTTAAAATCTCTCAATTCCCACCCAAACTTTAACCAAGTCAAATATACTGTCCAGATATATTGTCCAAAATGGCCCAGGTGTTGAAAGTTGAGGCCAATTTGAAAAGGCTCGCAGAACACTGTCCAACAGGTCCCCAAACTACAGCTGCTGAGCTGTAGCTGACTGCCTCACCCATGACCAGGCCTGCTGGTCACTAGCACAGGAGGTCTGTCCTCTAAATAGCCCTGGGGAGGGAAGAGGCAGGACAGCGAAGCCCTCTCAGGGATCTGCATCCTGCTCAGTCTCCTTCCACCCCACATGTGTGCCTCTCCTCTCCAGCGGACAAAGCCACTGCTGGTGTGGACAAGCAGCACAGCTGCGGGTCCCCTTCAACTCACATGAGCATATGGCTATCCAGAGATTAACCCTTGCAGGTGGCAGAAATAAAATGAGTGGAGTTCTCTTCCCACTGAGCCCAAGGGAGGGGTGAGACACAAGACCAAAGGCATCTGGGCTCACTGCACAGCGTGAGTACACGCAACATCCCAGAAGCACACACAGTGCAGTGCACTGAGCTCATATTCACATGGGAAAGATGCCTGGGGGATAACTAACCACTGGGCTGCTAGCAGGCCTGGCAGTTCCAGGAGACCAGAAAAGGAACTGCCACTGAAGCTGGGAGAACTGGTTTGGCTTACTGTCTTATGGTTTCAAGATTCAGGTGCTTCTGCAATGCAAATGGGAAGAGGCCACCTCTGGTTCTGCACTTTCCATTAATAGGGACAATACGGCACACCAGCGTGTGTGTGCTAGATTTGTACTCCTGGTCTTCTGTGTTATCTGGAAAAAGTCTCATCCTCTGGCTGTAATGTTGTTAACCATAGTGACAGGCCTATTTCTGAAATTTGGCTTCTTCTAAATAAAAGTGTGCATTGTTCTGTATATGTGTGTTGGTTGGCTGGTACAGGGATCTAACCCAGGACCTTGGTGTTATCAGCACCATTCTCTAACCAGTTGAGCTAACCAGCCAGCCCTAAATATAAGGCTTTTAAATAGGACTGAAAGCCAGAACTAAAAATGTTTCCAGCTGCAAATGGGGTAAAGGGGTACTACTAGCATCTAGTGGATAGAGCATGAATGCTTCTAACCAACCTAAAATGCACAGTACTGCCCCTCACCACAAAGAATTACCTGGCCCAAAACGTCAATAGTGCCATGGTTGAGAAACTCTTTTATTAAAGCAGACCCACTTCTGCCATGTGCTAAGCTAAATAAGAAAACAAAATCTTTTAAAATCCATTTCAGAGACCTTATTTGGACAACTTCATGCCAAACTCCTCATCCATTTGGTAGTCAAATATCAGCATTAATCCACAGGCTTAAATTTTCCCTGCAAACTTGATCAGTACAGCAAGCATAGAAATATTTCCTCTTGTTCTTTATTATTATGAATGGCAAAGGCATCAAATATGTAGCTTACTTGGCTTGGGATACCATCACCTAGTGTGCAGCTGTGTTTCGCCCTTGAAGTACTTTGCCTCCTCTTATTGGGTTACATCATTACTAGGTTTATTACAAAGATGAAGACTATGAAATTGAACAGGGAAAGAGGAAACTAACCAGCCTGTGATAATATTTATTTTTTGATCTCAGCGAGGTATCACAGCGACACAGGCCTGTGGAGAAAACAGTGACCCTATCACAGGGAAGACTGGAAGTCATTTAAAATCAAAACTGACATTCTAATCCTCTGAATCTGATTTGTGAAGCTGCACCATATTGCCTTTTTTTTCTAGGGCAATGCACTGCAGTATCAAATTTTATGATAGTAATGGGGTCAATTTAAATGGTGCAACAAGCAGATTTGCTATGTAACTCACAAGAAATGGATCGCAACAGTGCTCAATTTAAATGGTGCAACAAGCAGATTTGCTATGTAACTCACAAGAAATGGATCGCAACAGAAATGGATCGCAACAGAAATGGATCAGATTTGCTATGTAACTCACAAGAAATGGATCGCAACAGTGCCGAATCAATTTTCTACTACAAGTCTGTGCACAGGGGTGGTAAAACTCGCTCTTCAAAACTGAAATACGGCTCTAGGAAGTCCGGTTTTCAAATGGATTTTCTGATAATGCACAGTTACTATAGTTACCATATTTGCAGAGAAAAAGATAAGAGGAACATTTATTAGGCCTCCAAAATCTAATTCATTGGATTTACAGCCCTACAGGAAACTGCTTGGGTAGTACATGTTTATCTGTCCTAATGTCCGATTTCTTCATTTTAGGCATCTCTGCCTGAGTACTATCTTAAGAACAAACAAGTCAGCTTTATAATAATAAAGAAACAAATCTATACCTTCTTGAAGAATGTCAGGTCAGAAAACCCAAGAGACCTGGCTTCCAAAATGGCTGGAAAGAGACACGGCATACGAAATGACAACAAAACCAAAAAAAAGTAAACCATTTTCTAACTCAATAAAGAAGATCCCTACAATAAAACAAAATTTGTTACACTCATCTTGGGAACTCTTCTGGGCAAAATGTCTACATTTACTTAGTTTTCTCGTTAGATCATCAAACCCTTAATGGGGAGTGAGAGCTCACTGAAGGCTCATCTTTTGCCCTGAGGCATTAAATTCGCCAGTAAATGATAAGGAATCCTGGAATAGTCTATTCTATTACCGATCACTTAAACAAACAAAATGCTAAAAGAAAATGGAATAAAAAACAGAGGAGTCAATGGGGTGGGGGAGTGGGGAGGGGCATTGCAGTGCAGAGAGAGGAAAAAAAGGCCAAAAGAAAAAAAAGGAAAGAAGAGTCTCAGCGTGGGAAAGGAATGAAGCATTTTCCTTTCATCCTCTTTCCGTTTTTTCCTTACCTCATATTAATATGCCATAACTCTAAATAACTTCAATAATCTCTTATTTGAAGTTTTTCTCAGCACTTAGATGTTACGAATGACAAATTATAAGAAGAGAATTGAGGACTAGAGGCTGTTTTTAACACTACCTACCTCCACAACCAACTGCAATATTTTAACATGATGGTTTCTGAGGCTTGGAATCACTACTCCAAGGCTTTCAACTTCCTACATTAAATAAAGGCTGGATTATACTAACCAGGGTGTACTTTGAGGCAAGAAAGTAGACTCGTGAATTACAGAAAGATTATTACCAGTAAAGATCAAAACAAGAAAGAATTTTCTGACTAATCCTTGGTTAACCAGCATCTTAACTAACCATAACACCTTCTGTCTAGTTCCACCACAATAAGTATTTTGGTTAATCATAGTATTCACAAAAGCCCTGAACTAAACTAAACCTCCTGCTCACCATCAGCAAAAACTCCCAGCCAACAGTCCAAAGTAACCTGCAGCACACAAATTCTTGAAACCTATAAATGCACAACCTTAAAGAGCATATTCCCTCTTAGAAACACCCAAAGGTCATCAAAGCCACACCACCCTCAGTACCTGGCAAAGAACAGCTTCTCCTCCACGTGTTCCAAAAGGCATCTGCACAATCATCCTGTCCTTGTCCTCATTCTCAAGATGGCCCTGGAGCTTGCCCAGGCTGAGCTGCTCTCCAGGGCCCTCCTCATAAATGCAGCCACTGCTCAGGACACTGAACTTCACCTCACTCTGGTTAGCCTTGGAGAAAACCAAGCTCTGGACTGTCTTCTGCAGTGTGCCCTTGCTTGTCACCTGAAAGCCACCAAACACAAAGGATGAAGACAGGCCCAACACCTTCCCTCCCTGAGCAAGATAGGCCATGAACTTCTGGTACAGGTCTTCGGAAATTGACTCCATGGTGGCAATGACCAACAACAGACAGTTGTCCAGCCACGGGTCTCTGAGAGCACTTTCCTCCAGCAGGTGGTAGAGAATGTAACTGTCAGTGTCCACACAGTCACCCAGAGCAGACTGGACCTGCTGGAAACGGCCAAGGGCTGCCTGGGAGTCAGAGCCCACATAGAGTAGGATGTTGGGGGCCTTCCCCGTGATATTGATTCTCCTCTCTTCTTTTTCAGGGAAGATCTCATCAGCAGCACTCTCCAAACTGCTACTGTAATCATAGGGAAGATCTGGAATGTTCTCTGCAGATGCAAACTTGACTGACTCAATGGTGCTGTTCTCAAGTTCCAAACACTCATGGCAACTAGATAGATGCAGGTGAAAATGCTCAATGGAGCCTCCTCCCCTGTCACTCTCCCCAGCAGCACTGCCCCTCCTCTGCTTGGGTTCTTCCTCTTTGCCAATGTGCTCCATAATGTCCGGCTCAGGCTTATTCTCAAGAGAAGGTTCAGGATTCAGCTGCAGGATTTGGGCTTGCTTATTTGAAGCCTGATCCTTAAGTTCCTTCAGAGTGGAGTCCTGCAAGTGCACTGCTAAAGCATGGACAGGAAAGATAATTAATCAGCACCTCTCCTTTGTCATGTTCAAGAGTCTCATCAAGTTCTCTGCATTCCATGACTTAGATTCCAGGATATCCACCCCATGGCTCCCACCTACATCCCCACCTTTGGATTCACATAATTGCTCCCACCTGTTTGGAGGGTGCCCCTGAAGACCTCAGGTGAAATCCCCTACAACATCTTTCCTACATAAATTAGAGAACCTAAGATCTTCTTAATGACCAGTGAAGAAAGTGAAATTTAGAGAGGTGATTTTGCCTACTTACAGATTGAATTTCTTGGGTATGATTCTCCTATACAATAAGGAAACTGAGAAATAAAAAGGGCACATATCTAGAGTCTATCCAAGCACATCCTAGGGAAAAGTTGCTTTCAGGACACTTCATAGGATCAACAGGTTGAAGGGTCTTTCCAGTGAGTTTACAATCACTGACTCAAAAAACATTTACTGAGCACTAACTACACATCTGACGTTGTATTAGGCACATGGCAAATTGGGAAATTACGTGATTGGCACAAATTTCCAGAGCTGATAAGTGACAATCACTTACCCATGATGTGAGTGAAGACTTTCATAGACAGAGAAAGCCTGCTTTTAAGTTTAACTAAGGAAGAACAGTCACATGTCTCCTAAGAAAAGATTTGTCCCCCAAAATCGTGATATGTATATCTTAAGTAAAAAGCTGTTAGAACTTCATAGTAACATTGGCTATGCTTCTCACTCAGTCAAAACTAGCAACTAGTTATACTGTATTAAATTGTGTGAAATAAGTATTATATGGGTTCTGAATCTGAACGCCATCTCATGGACAATGTAATTACGGGAAATCCTGATTAAGAAATTTAATAAGCACTAAAGATGTACTCAGTGATAAGTCCCCCCACCACAAAAAAACTTGACATATGTATGAATCTTATACTATTATGGTTAATCAAACCTGTTGATTGAATTAAACTGAAACTAAGCATTGTTCTTAAGTCATACCAATAGGACTGGTCAACAGTCCTTAAGCTAATAACCTATGATGTCCCACTATGATTAAAACATTTTTCTAAAGCTACTTACAAACGATCTTTTGAGGTACCAGTCCATTATCCATCTGGAGTCTATCTTCCATGAACGCCACCCCTAGCTTGCTGAAGTTGTCCACACTTGCTTCAGCAATTAATTGGTAAGGATCCCCGGGTCTGCAAGCTAATGGCAAGCAACAGTCTGACCACTTTACAGTCTGAGAAAAAGCACATGAGGAACAAGGAAGAAAAAGAGAGGTTGAGATTTTTCTTCTCTAAAATAACCACATACTTTTATTTTTCTCTTCAGGCTCCCAACCACTAAATCATAAGCAAGCAAAATGAATTACTGGATATTGCATTTTATTACTATTAAAGTTATTTTAGCTCAAACATTTTCTTTTTTTTTTTTGTCTTTTTTACTGACCGGTAACGGGATCGCAACCTTGGTGTCGCGCCCGTACCAGGGACCGGCAACGGGATCACAACCCTCGGTGTTGCGCCCGCACCGCGCTCAACCAGTGAGCGGGAACCGGTCTCCACGTGGGATCCGAACCCTCGGCGCCGCTGCACTCCCAAGCGGCACACTCTCCAGTGCGCCACCGGGCCGGCCCAAACATTTTCATTTCTACCTGACGACAGTGCTCACAAAGCACTAAATATAACTTTCTCACTTAAAAGTAATTGAAGTCTCAACTGCTTTTCAAGGAACTAAAAGGGGAAAGGATCATTCCCCAACCACTGGAAAAACATAACATTGCCCTTTAGTAACTGGCAAGAACAAGTCCACAATATCTAAGGATTTAAAATGTAACCTATAGCCCAGCTTTTCTCAAAGTGTGGTTCAAGACCAACTCCAACAGAACTACCAGAAGCACATTAGACCTTCAGATTCCTGAGCACAACTCCCTATCTGCATTAGACTCTCTGGAGTTGGAGTTCGGGAATCAGTATGTCTAAACATGCTTCCCCAGTGATTCCTGCACTCGGGGAAATGCGAGAACTGTCCAGGACTGCCTGTGGGGAAGTTCACGTTTCCACCACAAGGGGGACAAGAAAACCAAAAGCAGCCAAAACTTCAAGGCCTCCAGTTTTCACAAAAGAAGTAATTGAAACTGGGACTCTGAATACCTATAATCTCTCTGAGGATTCCCAATGGGAAAGGAGAGCCAACTGGGATTAAGAGCCTGGCTCTGGGGCCCAGGGGTCTAAGCCTGAGTCAAACTCAGCTAATCATGGCTGTCTGTCCTTAGGCAAGACTGAACCTCTCAGCTTTGTTTGTAAAACAGGGATACTGGTAATATTAACACCCGTCATCTCACAGGTTTGTTGTGTTAATGAGATTAAAGTATATATAATGCCCCCAGTAGAAAGTTTGGGACAGTATAAAGTACAGTCTACCCTCTGTATCCATGGGTTCCAAATCCATGTATTAAACCAACCACTGATTGAAAATAATTGGAAAAACAAAATTCCACAAAGTTCCAAAAAGCAAAATTTGAGTTTGGGGGGGGCAAGTACTATGTTGAATCCATGCAAATGCAGTAATGTGTAGGCATTGTGTGAGGTATTATAAAAAACCTAGAGATGAATTAAAGCATAGGGGAGGATAGGTGTAGGTGACATGCAAATACTGTGCCATTTTATATCATGGACTTCAGCATCCAGGGGTTTTGGCATCCATGAGGGGTCCTGGAACCAATTCTCCATGGATACCTAGGGACAACTGTACTCAATTAATGAAAACTGCTTTTATTAGCTATTAGAAATATGGCTTTAAAAGCAATAGTGAACATCACAGTCTTTTTCTAAAATGCCATGAATGATTCCCCTGCTCCCCAAAATGATTTTCTCAGGGACATACTGCATAATTAGAGATACATAATTTTGAATTCCATTTTTTATGTTGAGGGACTATGTTATTAGAGCTAACTCCTGAACAAAAAAACATGAAAAAAATTCTAAATAAAATAAATTTTTAAAAAAGCACTAAAAAACTGTCTAGATAATGGAGAACTGCCAGGCTAAGTGCTGGGATAAATCCTGAACCTACAGAGGTAAGGAGGTTTCCCACAAGCCAAGGCACTTCTGCTCTGAGGGTACTTGCTCATCCTGGAAACTTTGGCTCAGAAAATCAAGGTCAAACTGGCATAAGGAAAGACATATAAACCAATGGAATAGAACTGAGAATATAGAAAAACACACATTTATGGGTAATTGATTTTGGAGAAGGGTGTCAAGACAATTCAATAATCTTTTCAACAAATGATGCTTGTACAATTGGATATCCACACGCAAAATAATGAGGATAAGCCCCTACCTCACACCACAAATGTACACAGTAGCATTATTCATAGTAGCCAAAGAGTGGAAACAACCCAACTATCCATCAACAGATGTATGAATAAATAAAATATGTATATCCATACAATGGACTGTTATTCAGTCACAAAAAAGAAACAAAGTACTGATACATGTTATAACATGAATGAATCACATTATGCTGTGTGAAAGAAGCCAATAACTAAAGGCCACATATTATATGATTCTACATACACATATCTAAAATAGGCAAATCTATAGAGTCAGAAAGCAAATTAGTGATTGGGAAAGGAGGGGAATGGACAGTTACTGCTGATGGGTACATGGTTTCTTTTGGGGGTGATGAAAATGTTCTAGAATTGGATGGCGGTGATGGTTGCACAACATTGTGAATATGGTAAAAACTATGGAATTGAACTATAGTTAACCCTTGAACAACTCGGTTTGAACTGCAAAGAGCCACCTGTATGCAGATTTTTTTCAACCTACCCCAGATCGATGATAAAAGCACCTACTTTGGAAGATAACTGGAAGACCTAAATGGGATAATCCATAAAGTTCCTGCTCCATAAGGAGGTGCTCTTATTACTCCAAAACATGAAGTCTTAGAGCAAGTATTCTCATGAGAAGCCATCACCCCCAAATGGGCAAAAACTAGCTCTTGGTAGGGAGGGAAGGGGACAGGAATGAAAAAACCTTAGATATCACAGTGGTTTGTGGCCCTCCAAGGCTCAACTCTACCCCACAAAATCTTATTCCTTAATAGTTCATCTCTTTCCTTAGAGAGAATTTAAATTGAGTTTACTTTTTCCCCTTACAGAAATAATAGTGGGGAAAAAGTTGAAAAACACTGTCTTAAAGGGAAAAATAATAAATGCAGGACTTTATAGTCAAAAAGTTGAAACCCACTAATTGTTGTAGAATATTCGGAGAAAGAGAAACCTCAGAACATCCTTTTGGCTTCCCTGCATTTCATCACCTGCTTCTCCCGCCTCCTCGTGGGCACCCAGCCATAGTGAGGAGGAGTCGCCTGGAGGGTCGGGCCTGGCTGGCGTATCAGTGGAATTCTACATTTCAAAAATAACATCTGTGATCCAAGGTGAAAGGTCGAAGCTTATAACTCAGACAGATGCTCAGTTGATTTCCAGCTTTGGGAATCAAGGAAAGGATGTCAATTAAGGAAAAAAATGAGAAGATAAACGAACAGCTTGGCAAGGGCGAACTTCTCAGATGAGGGTGAGTGGAAATCATGAAAAGGAATGGGCAACCTCCTGCATGAAGCTAAAAGCATCATTGTTCCCAGAGCTATCGCCAGCAATCTGAGAAAGAGGAGAAATGCTCAGCCAATGGAGACCCAACCCAGAATTTTGTTGTTAAAACACTGACATAGCACCCTGCTGTGGCAGGCACTGACTTAGTATAAAAGGAGCCAACAATTAAACACTCACCCACCTCTGAAGGAGGAGACACGCAGGAGATAAACAAAGGAAGAGGAAGGACAGGAAGAGGTCAAAACTGACATAGCACCCTGCTGTGGCAGGCACTGACTTAGTATAAAAGGAGCCAACAATTAAACGCTCACCCACCTCTGAAGGAGGAGACACGCAGGAGATAAACAAAGGAAGAGGAAGGACAGGAAGAGGTCAAAGAACAAGACAGACACACACCTCTGATCAAGTTTCTCAGCTCAGCCAACTGTTTCCTTACCTAAGTGCATTTGCTTTTTCTAGGAACGTGGTCCATGAGCCACAGACCATGCAAACTCCTTCAAGCAGCGCTGGGTGCTCCGATCAAAGCAAAGCCGCACTGTCACTGATACTTCATCCAAGGGTATTTGCCTTCCAGTGGATAAAAGCAAACAGAACCCTTCAAATTTTCTTCAAGCAGCGCTGGGTGCTCCGATCAAAGCAAAGCCGCACTGTCACTGATACTTCATCCAGGGGTATTTGCCTTCCAGTGGATAAAAGCAAACAGAACCCTTCAAATTTGCACTTCAAGACGGAAACAAAGGGGTAGAGAAAGAAAGGGGAAGTCAAGCAAAAGACTTACTCCCAAAGATCAAAGCTAAGGAAGCCCTGGTTAGCCCTAAACAAAGGGATTTCCTCTTATAAGCAGTGTGCAGAAATCTGTTCAATAACCAAAACTCTTGTCTTGACATTACAATTTTGGACAGCAGGCAATGAGTATCTGCTCTGTTCAACTTAAAACTCATGCCAAGAACAAACCCAGGAGTGAAAGGCACCAGGTTCAATTAGCATGTGTGGCCCTTCTGAACAGCATACGGCAAGCTGAAGTCCTGCAGCTGACGGGGAACAGAAATCTCAACATCCCATGAGTTACCCAGAGTCAGATCACTGATGTTGCTAATTTTTTACTCTTGCTTCTCGTCTTCTAAATCATTTAATTGCATGTTAGGTTGTTAAAAGTTCTAGTAATTAATTGAATAGAGGAGGGATGTGTACACAAAGATGTAAAGAATTTGAAACCATGAGACTAAAGAGAGGTTAGTTTTGACTTTCAGTTATCCTCCCTGCCTTTCAGGTCTAGAAAGAGGATAAAGGAGTGCTACAAAATTCACTTTCAGTCTCTATTACCTAAAAAGACGATATGCACTACAGTGCTTTTAAAAGAAGGGTACTGGAAAACCAAGTAATAGTGCATAGGTTATCACAACTCCACAGCAACTAAGAGTGGAAATGATAAACTGATCCAGATGAAACTTAAAAGCAGAACTGCAAAACCATGACTGACCAGATGCTCAAAGAAAAAGCTGGTCTAGTTACCC